TTCGACAGAAGCACATTCATGAACCAACGCCTCAGAATTCCCGACAACATGTCTCTAGCATTCCAAATGAGCCCCAGAAGAATCAAGGCACCTTCTTTTCGTCTGCAAGCACAGACTGCAAGATGGAATAGTCGTTCAAGTCATCCTTCAGCGTGACAAGTGCCCTGATCCGAATTCAGGCAAAGTAAGGGCTGACAAACACCACATCATCTCCTCAGCAGCTGTTGGGCTTATCCGGATTAGGTCAGAATCTAAGGACAAATTCAGTTCTTCTTCCAGACCTCAATGGCAAAAGCATTTGCAACAACAGTAAGTGTTGAAGACAGTCAGGTGCTTTGCTGGGGTCCTTGCGTCCAACTCTGATTGACCACGCATGGCAGCTGTCTATCGCCATAAACGTCTTTTTATTCCTAGTGTTGTCCCCTTCGCACAATGCAACTCGTGGCTGGCTCAAGAAGTTGGTTCTATCCAGTGGTCAAATTTGGAGGTGCCCCTGGTCAAATCCATTTTTAACTTTGCTGATTGGCCCCAGCTGCCCCAGCTACACTTCAGCCCAGAAGGCTGCAAAAAATGGGTCCTGAACAAAGAATCATGTGAAAGCTAGAAATCCCACTGCCAAAGCTTGTCTCTCTTTTCTTCCTGAGAAGCTCCAGGCTCTGGGGCGCGCTTTGCAAACATGTCGGAAGGTGCTGTTTTGCTCCCTAACAGTGACAAGCCCTCGCGTCTTCATATTCCATCTGAACCACGGCTTCCATGCCGTTGGGGTATAGTGAGATCCCAGGCTGAGCTTACGGCTGGACATGTTGCAATCTGCATGTTTGGTGACGTCTGCACTTCGCTGCACTTCCTCGGTTTTCCCACAGCATAGTGGAGCAGCGCCACGTGACGACCCCCAAATATGAGGACATCCGCCTCATGTGATGGCGACGGAGTTTTGCTTCACCGGCATGCTGATGATGCCAGCAAGGCATCAAGTATCATCTCAGAAAGCACTGCCACGACAGCAAGAGGTGAAACATGTGGTCAAATGTCAATGTCACATGTCCGCTCACTTCATCATGTATATCTGTGACTCACCTCATTGTACATCTTGACACCCCGTCTCACCTTGTTTGGATAGGCGTGCAGCGTCCATTTGTCCTGGCACCGTCACTGTCAGGGATAGTTCATGTGGCAACCCCACTGGAACTCCAGCTCCATCTGAATGTGGCATCACGTAAACACCTCAAATTTGCTCTATGTGTTTCTGCATCATCTTCTGCAGCCTCCATCTGCCCTTTGAGTTGCATAAACGGTACAAAGACTTCGACTTCGACGTTGTACCACCCATGTCCTTGTTCTGGCTCTGGAGGTGCCCTAATCTGGTAGGCCGTGGCCTTCTCTAATGACGAGTCTTGGATTGTTGTACCACATCCACCGTCGAGCAACCAAGCGCAATTTCTCGCTTCTCGCCATCTTCTGATATTTATATAAAACGTATACAACAGTCGACGCTCTTCTTGTACTCCTTGGCTCCAGCTCAGCTCAGCAGAAACTTAGCCCAACCCAAGTGCACAAACCCAAGCCCTTTCACAAGGTAGCTTTCACGGTAATCCTTTAATGTAGGCAGAAGGACGAATTGTCCTTCCTTAGCCTTACCTCTCTCTCCCATGGGTTTTAACCAAGATGCACATGGACATGCTGGCTCTGCCTCAGTAAGTTGTTACACCACCAGCTCATGGCCATAAAACATTGAACATCACCAGTTCAGAATGAGGGATGACTGTTGTCTCAGGCAGCCTCAAGGTCATGTCGGGCGTTTGGGGCCAGCTTTCAAGTCAATCTTCAGTCTACAATACTGTGAAGGGCCATGAATGCCAAACCTCTGGGTGTGGCGGCGATTGATTGGACTCCGCCAAGCCCAAGAAACTTGGAAATGTTCTAAGAGTGGGAGACGGCAAATCTTCCCATGTCACTGGTGGACGAGTGAGCAAATCAGTTCGGTTGATTTTTCAGGTCCACACTTTGGGAAGCATCTATGCTCGGCGGGGAGAATAGCACCATTTTCGTCCGCTTTCGAGCAACTGCTCTCTGCAGTTTCTGGATTAGAAGCCTGCGGGAGGAACGTTCTGGGCAAGCCGCACAGAAGCTTCGTATGGTGGTTCTTCTTAGACAATCGCAAACAAATGATCAATGGCTGGTAGTGGCTCTTTGGTCGTGGGCACTTCAATGGCTTCGATGGCTATGGTCATGGCTTCACATATTGTGCACTTGGTTAGTAGTTCACGTGTTTCATCATTTTTCTGACTGTCAAAAAACGATTCCAATAGTTGGTGAACAACAGTTGCTTATCCTACGAATCCTTGCAATTGATATTGCAGGTCTTCCACGGGTGACAATACCATGATCAAGGCATATCAAGGCTGCCCTTTGTGTCTTCCAGCAGCGCATAAGCTCCACCCTCACACAGCCATACTCGATTGATATGAAGCTGCAACTGCATCCCCCTGGCACGATCCAAAACACCAATACCATAGGCTAGATCATTTTTGTGATACGAGTGAAAGCCTCGACAACTTTGTTGTGAGTAAGAGAAATGACCAAGTGGTGGTCTTTGTCACATCTGTTGGTTTTGCTTTTGAGGTTCTTGCTCGACATGTCTTTTTGTTCTACATGCCACAAAAAATACAAAATGAGTAAAGTACTCCAACACATTGCCAACAATGTGCATCAAAGGCTTCATATCTCCCAACTTGGGCATGATTCGGCCATGGTCATGTTGCACTTCTTCCTTCATGTTCTATACCTGACCCTTGCCACTCCGGCACATGTTCGGTTGAGACCCCCCAACGCCTTGCGCCGGTCCAAAATTTCCATAATCCGTGCGGCTGTTTCCACCACACCAGCGTTGCTAGTGTCCTATAGCCACCAAGAATGAACATGCAGACAAGATCGAAACGATCAAAGTGAATCAGGTGAACCCCAAGCGCACAACAGATTGCACCAACGCAGGGAATCAAATCAATCAAATCAACTAAGGGTGCTGCTATGATTGGCCACTTTGGGCCCTTTCGCCTGGGAGCCAGCTGGAAGGGGGTAGCGGTGGCGAATGAATGGTTCGCACAAATTTGGATGGAAGTTCCGGTGATTAAACAAGTCCCTTTTTTCTTGCCCGGGCAAGGAGACAAAGACGACATATGACGACATATGACGACCACATTCGAGTTTGGACAGTTTTGGCGCACCGATCGGCTTGCTGCCTTCTCTAACCAGCTGAGCATTACTCAAAGTGAGGCTCGGAGCACCTATGAGAAACTGCGGCCTGCCCTAAGTCAAAGCCGCACTTGAAAAGAAACTCGTAGGCGCAAGTTCAACCACCGAAAGTGCGAATTCTTTCTGGCATGGCCATGTTGGCCCTTTGAAGCAAGCATGGACCAAAGTTTGAAAGCACAGGTTTCACCAGGCGAAATCCCTTCGTTGACAACGCAGAAGAGATTTCCCCTGGCAAAACCGAAACCTGTGCTTTCTAACTTTGGACCAAGTCAATGGCAACGTTGCTTCGTGTCCCTGGTCAGCCGCGAGGGGAGCTCATCAGGGCGGCCAGCTTCTCTCAGGTGTAGGCGGGGTCAATGGTCTGCGGGATAGGTTGGATCTCGGTGCCCAACTATCGTACGTCACAAAATTGATGCCCAAGCCCAAGTGACCGAATCGGCCCAAGCCCCCCCCAGGCGATGCAAGTAGGTCTCCGAGTTCTTGGGACAAATCAGTTGATCACAACATTGACAGACTGGATGTCAATGCCACGTGTAAACAGGTCCGAGGACACCAAACACCGGCACGCCCCATTCCTGAAGTTATGAAACACTCGGTTCCTGTGAGACTGGTACATGCGCGGGTGAATGAAGAAGCAGAGTATCCAAGTTCTGTAATCTTCTTGGCCAGCAACTCCACGCGCGTCACAGAGTTGCAAAATAGGATTGAATTGCCCGCTGTTCTCACAGTTGCAGATCAAGCGGGGCCCGCTTGATCTGCAAGTTTGAGAACAGAGTGTTGAGACAATGAACCTTTTGGCGCTCTTCCACAAGAGCGTAGTAGTGAGAGACACCTGTTGGTGTTAGCTCTTCCATCAAATTTATCTCATGGGCGTGTGCCATGGAGCGATTCTTGAAATCCAAAATCGTCATGAGGATGTTGCAGAATACATCAGGATTTGCCTTTCTGGCGGCAAGAACTTCACAAGGTGTTCAAACTCGGAGGACAAAAGCTTGCTGCAAAACGACTAAACAAGCAGCAAAACTGAGAGCAAAACGGAACCTAAGAGCAACGGCCTCCAGCCTACTAGCGATGGCCTCCAGCCTAATAGCAATGGCCTCCAACCTACTAGCGATGGCCTCCAACCTAACAGCGATGGCCTCCAGCCTGCTAGCGATGGCCTCCAACCTAACAGCGATGGCCTCCAGCCTGCTAGCGATGGCCTCCGACCTAATAGCGAACAAAATCCCATATATAACTTTTCTCTGCACTGGTTTTCGTACCGCTCGCTCCAGCATTCAAGAATCCGGCACGAAAAGGCCAAAACCACGAAAACAAAAACCGCAAAAAAAGAATGAAGGCGAAAGCCGACAAAACCGGCGAAACGCAAAAGCCGCAAAAACCGACAACAATCGTAGCGTGGGATCGGATATCAACGAAAAAAGTCGGAGGAGGCCAGCTTCCGAACGGGCTTTTGCCAGGAAACTATGCCGCGGCACATGTCACAAACGAGGGGGGCCCGCAACATCAGAAGAAACAGTCCAACGCGAATCAGGTCCAGCGATTATTCCAACGGTTGCAAAACGAAAATCTCTCAAAGGATAGAATCAAGCTCATCTACAATGGTTGTGACCGGATCACAACCTGTGAACCGAGAGGGAAGTCATTCTTAGAACTGGCAGTTTGTAGCCTTTGTAGTATATGACGTCACTTCAATACCAACCCATGTGGCAAAAATCAAGTACCGAACTGGTGAACGAAAGACTCAGGCTGGGTCTGCCAGGGAAATTTACTTAAGGTCCTCTCTTAGTACCACGCATCTAAGTAGGCGTTTTTGGTGTGATTCTATGTGCAAACACTTAGTACCTGCGTCGGTTTCCCTGTGAAAAAGTTCTCTATATTTCCATATTTGTTCCCTCACTACACGCACCATTCGTTCCAAGCTGCCTGAGTTCCCCTCTGCACAATTTTACTTGTCATTGTCATGTGACTAATAATAAATTTAGCTGCACCAAAGCAAAAATAAAATCTGGGTCTTGCACAGAGCCAACTGTGAAAACGGTCAAAAACAAAAAACACAGGCGAAACACTCGAATGTGCGAAAATCCACGACTGCCGCAAAAACCACGAAAGCCACGAAAAAGCAAGTCCCACGAAAACCTGCGAAAACGCAAAAAAACACGAAAACCGACCGGCAAAACCCAAATACAGCGAAAACAGTATTCAAGGAGGGCTCGGTTTAATGGGGTTTCACACGGTTTCACGCTTTTTCCATCTCCTCGGTTTCTCAGTGTTTGCATTCTGTCGGGCGAATCCAGTTTGCTCGATGTTGGTAGAAACGATTGCTGGGCAACTCTCTTTGCTGATATGTCTGGATAGGACGCCGAGATAGGACGCCGCTTTGTGACATGAAATTGCCAAGCGAGTGGCAAGTAAAAGTTTTTGATCCAGCTCACCTCTTTCTTGATGTTGGTCCTTGGTCAACTTGCATTCTTGTTGACATGAACTGAGTCAGCTCCCTTGGTTGTACAACAAGAATTGTGATGGCTCTGAAGCTCCTCAGCGTGTCCAGACTCCTAGCTCAAACCACATCAATGTTATTGTACATCTGCTTGGGCGCACATCACGCCATGTATGGGCCGCTAGTCCCCATGTCACAACTCCAAGGAACAAATTGGCATACTTCGTGTTGGAGCGATTGAACTGCTTCATTCGCTGGGTGCCTCAGGCTACAAACACAGTCCAGTGGCTGAAGACATGGATTTGGGCGAGGCAAAGGGCAAGGTGCAGATGCTATTAGCCGTGCTCCAGTATATATATATATAGTATAAACCAAAGATTCCAAGGGTTCGCATGATGACACTATTATGTAGTAGTGCCACAGTTGAGGTATGATCATCCCCCACATTCAGCAACGTGATTGGCTATCAAAAACCTGACCTGAAACCCAGACAAGGGGAAGGTCCAAGGCACGAATCTCTTGTAATCGTTCAGGCTTGATTTGCAGTGCGAAACATTTTTGTTGATCGAGTTCGAAAAGCTCCTGGATCACACAAATCACAAAACCCGACCTTTCTGGATACTAGGAGCATCTAGAAGCATTCTTACTACTAGTAACAAGAAATCGTTACTAGGAGCAAGGACACTCTAGGGACTCCTGGCCTTACTAATAGGAACAAGAAGCTACTTACTAGGCATTTTGTTCCAATGGGCAGTCGGTCAGTTTCTATCGCACAAAGCTGGATCGGTCCTTTGGAGGCTCCTCCTCTGGCACCAACGGGTAGTTGGCCACCTAAAAGAAGAATACAAGTCTAATTTAGTTTATATAATTGATTGCTTCTACTAGCTTCTTGTTACTACTAGTAAGGCACTTGTTACTAGAAGCGATGCACTTGTTACTAGTAGTATGATCAAACTACTTGTTACGGGCACCCGTCTGGGGTCCCAACACACTTTAAATTCGGAATTTTCCAACTCCCCCACTGTTTGCACTGGCGAAGACAACCCAACTTCACGCTGCACTCTCATCATAGACACCATCCACGTTCCAGCCTTATAGCCTCTCTGTGCCAAGTAGAATGACAAGGGAGTCTTTCCAGCTCGCGATGGTCCAATCAGCATGATGTCGCACTCATCCCAAAGATGAGGCAAAACCTGCAATGCTCTGTTCGGACCTCTTTCGTTGTGAGCATCAGGACGCCTTAGAATCCCTTTATGTGTTGATCAGTTGGACAAGTCAACCCACAACAGCCTGTTGACAACTGCAACCCAAGCTGACAGAACCCTGTGCCAAGCAACACCATCATCCACTTTTCGAGTGTACTCAATCGCCTTGACCTGGGCCAAGAGAGCGCTTGGAAATGACATGAAACGACTGTACATGGCCAACATGCATGCTACTCGTGAATGGTTCCATGCTAACTCTGTACTGTCAGTGTTGATTCAATCTGCGTCCCAAGTCGAGGAGGAAGACGCAAGCCTTCCTGTTTGCTGGCTCCATATCACTAGAACTTGCCAACTTGGGCCAACTGGAGAATCTTCCCAAACTCAAGAATCATTCCCAAAACCACTCCTCAAACCAGGCCGGAGCCACAATGGTCATGTAGTCATCGCTGACGGCTTGTCGCCGACCCGCTTTTCCACTCCGCTTGGCGCCGAATCTTTTTTCGAAGGTGGCCAGCAAAGGGCCCCAAAGGTCAATGCCTGGTGGAGAGCTGGCCACTCTTTTGTTTTTGGCCCGCTCGGCCCTGCCTCCTTAGTTAATTAAGTAGGCACCTACTTAATTAATTACTGCAAGTGAGAAGTTCGCTCCTACCTACTGGATGCTACTACATATGGACGCAGGATAGCTCATGCTTCTTCAAGCAAGCTCCCCTTGCCTGAGGGCGGGGGTAGCTTCCTTGAAGAAGCGCTCGCACTATTCATTTGGTTCCTATGTTCTTAGGGAAACTTGAGCAAGACACTGGACCTGGTGAACTCGAGGCCTCACATAGTTGGTATTGGATGTTGTAAACTCCGAAAGGCATTTGCAGTAGGTAGGATGCATGTAGGATGCTATAGGCTATGGGCTTTGACCCATGCCGGGTCAGGAACCAAAATGACACAAAGCAAACCCCGAGCAAAGTCGGTATGCACATGAGAAGCATAGCTGCGCCAAGGGGTGCAGTGCTTCGTGTTGATCCATGTGGCTTTTGGAACTCCAACCAATGGGGCTACTCTTGGGCTCTGTCCACAGCCACGGCACATTCAAGCTCTTTGGCTTTGCACTCATCAACAACGACTTGATGCAGCTTTGGATCCATGATCGTGTAAACCTGAGGCAAATTGTTCGAGGGGCTTCGCTAAAAACCCTGCAAATCACCGGATGACACTCATGCATGGTTGGGAAGCAGTGAAAACCCTGAAAGCGGTGGAAAGCAATATGAAGCAATCAAAACTGAGGGCCTCACCAGCAAGGCATTGCACTTCTTGGCTGCTTCAACGATGGTCTTGATCTCTGTGGCAGATCTCACAAATCTGTAGACTGTTGCCCGGCTTGTTGCACATGTCGACCCTGAACAGTACTCAAACTGCGCGGCAGCAGTTTTCACCGAAGCTTTTGCGGATTCACCGGTGCTGTCAGAGAGAACAAAGATGTTCACCAGCTGGCTCGCAGCACAGGTATCACCATCACCTCAAGCTCTTGCGAAATGACACTGTCAAACACCTTTGCTTTATTCAACAAGTTGGGAACCCTTTCATTCACTTCTTTACTGGACCCCACCTTCATCATCCTCATCAGAATCTTCATCGTCTTCCGTTTCAGCCGATTGAGAAAGGATGATCGAATCAAATGTGGCTCGATTCAAGCGCAAGAGTCGGCAGGAAGTCTGTGCAATGGCTGAGCATTTGTGGGGCGTATTTCCCAACAAACACTCAGCCCCGATGTAACTTCCCTGGCTTACCCGGCGCCGTTCTGGCTCCACACGTCCTGCCCTGGGAACGTCCAGCAGAACATCTCCCTGGCAGAGTGGCCGCGTTGAGTGCAGGACATGCAACACTTGGAAGCCTAGTGTTCAAGTTGAGGTTCGTCGAAGTGGCCGCCCACTCCAAGAATAATGTTGGCATTCACGCCGGTGGCATCACTCAGACTCAGAAATTTGCTCAATGCCACCAATGTGTTGAGGACAAATTTTAATTTAACATTTGTAGAGAGCAATGCTGGCCGCTTGGGTAATGAAACTTGGGTACCCAAAATGGGATCGCTCTCAATATGGCCAGCATTTGCGGAACCATTGGTCAAAAATTGACCCGTAGGCCGTAGTCACAGGCAACAAAAAACATGTTCAAAAGCCACCCCGCCTTGGCAATGACGTACATGTTGTCATCAGGTTGGCCCTGCTCAGCCAGCACCTGAGCAGTTTCCCAAACCCATATTGCACAGGTTGCATGGGCCCGTTGAAATTTGAAAGGAATTGCAAAAGTTTACAATCAAAATAAACCCTATACACACATTGAAGGAGACAAAGGCATGGCAAACAACGACCAGGAGTTTTGGCAAGTGCTTGCCTCTCCTTTTGCAAGTGTGAGTGGAAGCATCGTCTCAGCCAGCTGAAGGATGACATCAGTGTTACTCCTTCCCAGCACGACCAGCTCCTTCACCTCTGGCAGCACCTGCTGAGGGCTTTGGACAATAGAGAAGCACCGAAAAGCAAACGCGATTCCAAAAATTTGAGGCTTGCAAATTTAGTCAATATTTGGAATGTGGGTTGCAAAAAACGATTTCGGTGCGACGGTCCTTTGTGTCTAAAATTGCAGTGTGCAAACTGAAGCCCTTGCTTACGAAGTTCTCACATGAGAAATGCCGCGCGACCGTCACACTCGGATGCTCAATGTGAACGCACACCTGTCTAAGCAATGAGATGTCCTCATCCGTCAACGCTCCAACATCTGCCTTAACCAAATGCATGACACATATGAATGAAACAACTGCCACAATGCAAAACAGGTGGCAAGCAAGGACCTTAGGACCATCACAAGAACTTGTCACACCCAACTCCCTTTTTGGTTCGTGCCTCTTCGGCCTGTGCATGACACTGCACATGCCATGTTCTGTGCCTGGCCGTAGCGCCTGGGAGCACCGACTGTGGGGCACGTCGCTGTGATAGGAAGCATCCTATGACTGCAACAAGGAACAAGAAGCTATTAGGAACAAGTGCATCGCTACTAGTAACAAGTGCCTTACTAGTAGTAACAAGAACTACTAGGAGCAAGGACGCTACTAGGGCTCCTGGCCTTACTACTAGGAACAATGTTTGCTATTAGGAACAAAGGGCATCGCTACTAGAAATGCATACCACAGCCCCAATGAACCAACCCTGCTGACCTCTTGACGCCAGGCATGCCAAGGCAATTGGCCCGGCACTCTTCAGGAATTTGTCAGCCTAGCAACTGTCCAGAGATGTTGCCATTTCCGCAAATAATGCCACCAAAATTAAAGTACATATAACCAACTCTAACTTCACGGGTGTCCTATCCCTAAGTGTGAGACATGGCAACAAATGGGAAACTGTTCCAAACAAAAACAGCTCCTACGACATGGCCCAAGAGACGCACTCCAGGCCTCAAAGTCATTCACAGGCCGCCCAGGAAGGCCACTCCCAGCAAAATCGTTGCCACGAGCACCCACAGCAAGTGGCAGCGCGCATGGTTTCAGCGACTTGCTCAACATATGTTAGCTGATTGACGACCTTTTCAACAATCTGCGCGCTGGTTCTTCAGTCCCCTCAAAAAATACAGCACAAGAATCATGTTCAATCCATCTTGGCAAGGTGTATTTTAATGCTTGGTCAAAAATCTGGTGGCCTGCAACATTGATTCTGCGTGACCCCCGGCTTTCTCCAGCATCCGAGCTCAAATGGTTCAGGCATGAACTATATACTAACCCTTGGTTGCCGACAGGAAATGCCGATCTTGCAAACCGGCCAGTCTGAATGCAACCTGGTGGCTCGCCGGCCTGACGTCGTCAATGGACACACAAAAACAATTCACAAGGCCAACAACACGTTTTAAGAAAATGTCAGCCTTGTTAATACACATTCTGCCATTGCTGCACCTAGATAGTATATATTGCCGCTCCATGTAGCAAACCCCAAGTGGCGTCGCACTGCATCCTGGCAAATACCGATCGGCGATTATTGGTGAGGCTAGTTCAACGAACTAGAAAGACTAAATGGGACTCATCGTTCGTGGAAAGCGTGTTTGTTGCAAAGACTGGAACTGATTGATTGTCAATCTGACCCTTGCAATGCGGAAATCACATATTGTTTGGCGGCGGTCACTTGCAAATACATATTGACATATTGGCCACACCGGTCCTTTTCAACAGGGATTGGCTCTAGTGGACCACCCACACATCGACAGGCATGCTCCAAGGAAGCAAGCCTTCTGCTCGCTCGCCGCATCGACTGTGTTGTTAGCAAAGGTCATCAACCTGGGGGAACTAAAGGCAAAAAAAGAAACAGCCCTTGTTTCCGCCCTGTTACCCTTTTTGTCCACTGCCTTGTTCGATATTGAGCTCAGAGTATAGAATGTTTCAACTATATATATATATAAATACACCTCCTCGCTCACGTGCATGGCATATCGTTGACATACAAAACCCCCATGCAAACACAGCAACAAAGCCGGGCGTGCTGCAGCACCAGGCAGTTCACAAGATCTCTGACTCGGCAACCACATGGCTACAAACTCAGAATCCTCGTGGCCAAATGTCGGTCAAACCAAAGGTTATCCTGCTGGTTTGGTCTAATTTACTGTAAGCTGACACTGTTGCGTGGGCCGAACCAATTGAAACACTACAACGATTCCTGTTGGCAGCCACTTGGCTGGATGCACCTTGTTGAGCCAACATACCGTGTCATTGGATATTGCCGTGTGGTGTCACGATCGCATTGGTTCACATTCCCTTCGTTTCCACGTTTTTCTGTTGTTTGCCTTTGTGGCACTGCCCCAAGTTCCAGCAAAATTTCATGGGGTTTCCTCCAATATCATTGCAAGTGGATCTTCCGTCGACAAGCGGCCAATCACTATTGAGGTGTCCTCGCACTGAAATGAGCTGTTTGCCCGTCCGGAAACTTTGGGGACGTAGTTTTAATGAGCAAAGTGGATTATTCTGCCGCTTCCGTGCTGCCACGCAAAAAGGGGGCGCGCAATGTGTTTTGTCACGTTTGAGTCTGAGGCCTCATAACATGAATTGATTACACCCATAGACCCCGGATACAGTTACGGCGTACACGGGCAAAGTTTACATCATAATGCAGCCAGTACGTACTAAAAACGAGCGCCTGAGGCGGTCAAGTACAACTGAACAGTTATCCTTTAAAAATTAACGTAAGCAAGCACGACAAATTGAGTTTTATCTTCACACGTGTTCACTTTACTTGACCTGTCTTCACATGGCGTTTTCATGTTTTCTCTTTTGTTGGGTAAACGTTCTCATAAGTGCAGAGGTGGCACCAGGAAACAAATCCAGAAAAACAAAACACACGGAAGACGAGCGAAGCAAACGACATTAAGGCGAAGGTGCGCAAAGCAGCCCAGTGCCGGACCCATGTGGCAGCAAGTTGGGGCTGGGCCGGCGGGGGGGGCGCGCGCGCGTCGGACCCAAGAGGCCTCCCCAACGGACCCGCGACAACGACACCAACCCACGGATTTGAAGTCTCATTAATGCTTTAAACTTGTATAGGTGTGCAAGAGGTTATGCATTCACAGCTGCACGAAGCTACAACACATCGGCCTTGGTAAAACGACACCTTACCATGCAGATGATGCAAATGAATAAAAGTGCATTTCTGACATCACCAGCCGCTCAAAAATCACAAAAATTCGCCTCCAACACAACCTCCAAAACCTTGCTTCCGTGCACCCCTAAACACCACCCAATTTCGAGTTTACGAAGTGCTTTCTCGGACTACCACCCCCCCGACCCCGAATTTTTTCACTTCGCCAAACACAACTCAGCTGGCGCCTTCTACGAAGGCTGGCTTTCGTAATCTTTTGCCCGGGTCGCGCACGCGCGCCTCCTGCGCTGGCGGGAAGTACGGTTTGCGTGCGCGGACCCGCCACACATCCCCGCGAAAAGGGCCTCTGGCCCGAGGCATCCGCGACAGGGGGTCATCCAACTTGGCTATACAAATCAATAATCAATTGCAGAAACAATCCACCGAGGCCACCATGGAGAGAGCTGCCCCAGCTACGACTGTGCAGACAGTGACACTTGCTGGAGGCCGGGTGAAGTAAAATAGTTGCCCTTCGTGCCTCAATAACCCATCTGCTTTGACAGAGGACCAGCAACCCACAGAAAAACCACTTGTGGATCGTTGCCTACCATTGTCTGTCAAGGTCTTGACGAAATACACAAGAGCCACTTCACTGGAGCATCTTGTAGCACGCCACATGGATCAAGGAAGCCTCTGTCGTCGGACCAGCATAGCCTCATGGAACCGAAGCGCTCCCACCAGTGCTCCATGAAAACTTAGTTCAAAGCCCGATGTAAACTGAAGAAAAATCAAATGACAAAGAAAAACACCATTATCAGATCATTTGTTCGAAAATGACAATTATACCGTAACCAGCATAGGCCCCAAACAGTTTCAAAACGATTCGTTTAGACCAATATGAATCAAAAATCGATTTCTTGGTACGCCCTACCCTCACCCCAAGAGCAAACTGCTTCATCAATCGGCATTGACATCGCTATTTTTTCGGCCACACTCCCAGCCACAGAGTTCAGGGGCGCGGCCAAGACAAGGACAACAGGAGGACAAGACCCGGACACAGAGCCGGGCCACAGAGTTCAGGGGCGCGGCCAAGACAAGGACAAGAGGAGGACAAGAAGAGGACAAGAGGAAGCCAAGGCCCAGCCACAGAGCCCAGCCACAAACTTCAGGGAGGACAAGAGGAGGACAAGGCCTGGACACAGAGCCCAGCCACAGAGGGGCCTGGACACAGAGCCCAGCCACAGAGTTCAGGGGCGCGGCCAGTGAGTGAGTGTGGCCAGCTCTGTTTTCTAAGATAGCACCCCAACAGTAAACTGCTTGGGGAAAAGAAATGGCGTGAGAGGATGTATGGCTGTGGTCGGGGCTCCCCACAAAGCCACTGGTGCCATCTCTGGACACCTGGCGGCACATTGACGACCTGGCGGCACATTAACGAAGGTAGAATCATAGAAACATAAGCTACAAAGAAGCTTGTGTTACGGAGGTTTCTATATACTGGGTTGGTTATCTGGCAAGGGCCGATCAAGTCTCAACCGATGCTCAAGTAATGGGCCATGACTGGTCGTGGACGAGGAAGCACAACAGCAAGACGGAAGAATTGCCTGCAAAAAGATGCCTCGGATCATCTCGGATCAGATGTTCCCGGAAAAGGAAAAAAGAAATTGACGCACGCGTGATGTCCAACATCGGCCACTGATTCGCTTGGACTCTGTTTTGAGCGTCAACCGCAGTCTGGACAAACTTTTGAAGATGCCGATGATGCCGCTGAAGAATGTCGTCATTGCTCCCTCTCACTACTTCTTCCGCGGATGGAGCCAGGGCTTGGATCGGAGGATCGTGATGACCTCCTCCTCCACCGTCCCCTCCAAGCTATACTGAAGGCATGTCTCGTGCAAAGTGGCCAACCAGGTCGACATGGCTCCGGTCTCAAAAGGATTGGTGAAGCGACGGTAGGTGGCGCCTGGCGTGCCTTTCTCGACAACTTCGCGCTTGGGGCTCAGATAGGCACTTTTCCAGGTATCCAAGGCCGTCTTCCATGACCAAGTTTGGCCGGAGAGCAAGAGCTGATACATCCCAGTGGGAGGGCGCACGACGATCAAGTAGGTGCGGCGGTAATCCACCAAAGCAGCATTGCTCCAATGGAGATCTGGGTATGGGCCAGTCGTCGCAGTGATGCGCAACTGGGACTCATGCAGCCACTCCGCGGGGTCCTGGGCAGTGCGGTTGTGCACCAAAGCCTGCGCAGCAGTGGTGGCTTCACCCAAGTGCTCCAACAAGTAAGTATCGATCAAACTCAGGCACGGCGCAGATCAGCCATGCTGGGTAGTCCAAAGTTATTTCAAAACTTGGCCTCTAAACCTGTTGGCCTCAAGGAACCCACTCAGTCTAAATCAATGTAGCAGATATTTTTTTACATACTGGGAGCCCCTTTGGAACCCAAAGTCCTGCCACCCCTGCCCAAGCGCTTTGACCATTTCACACAGCAGGATAGTTATATGTTATAGGACATTAAACAGCGTATAACTTATAATTATAGCCTGCTATATACCACATCACCTGGAAGGCGGTAAGCAAAGGTCCGGTGAGTTCCACGTGCTTGGGTGAAGCAGGCAATACATGTAAGATCTTATTTGACTTAACTGCCCTTTGGGGTGGTGATGATTGAACGTACCAGACTCTGACAAAGTGAATGTTCAATTGGAGCTGTCCTGTCCTATTGCTCATGACGCAATACTTCTAGAACCTGACCAGTGGTCAAAGATCACATATTTTCCACTCATACTTGAGGCCGAGGGTAGGTGACGAAAGCTAGCAGGGGTGCATCCGGACTGGTGGGACATCAAGCGGAGTGAGGCAAATGCTCATGAGGTAAAACGTTGTGAACATGTAAGACACACAAACAGCAATGACACAGCCAACCTTAGAATTGAAGTCCCCGATAATTAAGGAAGCGTGGCTGGACTTTGCCACACTTTTCGATGCATCCGATGTGTTCACGAACCTGTGAGCTTGTTGAATCTGTTGCACTGTATCCCAAAACCTCCACGGAGGAGTTGAACCAGCGCGGATGCCATAAGAGGTGCCCAAGAGGTGTCCCAGAGGCAAAACAAAGCTGCTTGCATGATTTTTCCCGAAAGCATTGCGAAGGGTTCTTCCGGAAAATCCTTTGAACACTGACACTTCGACACTTACACTCAGACACACCTAGACATTGACACTTTCACCACACTGGCAGGATAAATAACATGAACGCTATACGTAGCCCTGTGTAAGTGGAAGAGCGAAAGCTGTCAAAGTATGCAAGTGGAAGTATGCAAGTGTAAGCACGGGTATGAGTATGCATGCAATGAATATGCAAGCATGCAATGAGTAGGCAAGTGAACTAGCACGGGAGATGTCCTAATGAAAAAACATTTCCCCACTTTATAAATTCTCTCTTAAAGGCGGAGCGTGGGACGAACAGCGTCAACCGAAAGTGCAACCCTCTGCGGAGATCGTGCGTGTCGAGTGCGCGAAATGCAGGTGAGAGTGCGATGTGCCGGGTGCCCGCGCAACCCTCTGCGGAGATCGTGCGTGTGGAGTGCGCGAAATGCAGGCGAGAGTGCGATGTGCCGGGTGCCCGCGCAACCCTCTGCGGAGATCGTGCATGTCGAGTGCGCGAAATGCAGGCGAGAGTGCGATTCGCCGGGTGTCCGCGCAACCCTGTGCGGAGATCGTGCGTGTCGAGTGTGCGAAATGCAGGCGAGAGTGCGATTTGGCGGGTGCCCGCGCAACCCTCTACGGAGATCGTGCGCGTCGAGTGCGCGAAATGCAGGCGAGAGGCGTAGAGTATCTGGGGAGCTGGGAGATGAGCACTGGTGAATTTGTAGTACAACTGTAGTACGCGGAGTAGCTGGGGAGCTGGAAGCTCAGAACTGGTGACTTTGTAGTACAACTTTAGTACGCGGAGGAATCTGCGGAGCTGGAAGCTGAGAACTGGCGACTGCGCAGTACAACTTTAGTACGAGGAGTATAGCTGTGGAGCTGGAAGATGAGAAGTGGCGACTTAGTAATACAACTTTAGTACGCAGAGTAGCTGGGGAGTGGGAAGATTAGAACTGATGAGTGGGTAGTAGGTGAGAACTCGCGACTATGTAGTACAACTTTAGTACGTGGAGTAGCTGGGGAGCGGGAAGATGAGAACTGGCGAGTGGGTAGTACAACTTGAGGGCGTGGAGTATCTGGGGAGCTGGGAGGTGAGCACTGGCGACTTTGTAGTACAACTGTAGTACGCGGAGTAGCTGGGGAGCTGGAAGCTCAGAACTGGTCACTTTGTAGTACAACTGTAGTACGCGGAGCAATTTGTGGAGCTGGAAGATGAGAACTGGCGACTTTGTAGTACAACTTTAGTACGCGGAGTATCTGGGGAGCTGGAAGATGAGAACTGGCGACTTTGTAGTACAACTTTAGTACGCGGAGTATCTGCGGAGCTGGAAGATGAGAACTGGCGACTTTGTAGTACAACTTTAGTACGCGGAGCAATCTGTGGAGCTGGAAGCTGAGAACTGGCGACTTTGCAGTACAACTTTAGTACGCGGATGAGTCATCTCTCGCGGCTGAGTCATCTCTCGCAGCTGCTCTGGCGCCCCTGCAGCTGAGTCATGTCTCCCAACCACCCGGCTCTCTTGAGAGGTTGACACACACACAAACAGAGACCCACGCACTGCCTCAACTTACTCGGAGACACACACAGACAGAGACTCATACACACACAGACATAGATACGCACACACAGAGACCAACACACTGCCTCAACTCACTCGACTTAACACTTCACACTGAATACTTACCAGATAACTCACACTCTGACTTCCTACGTGATGAAAAATGCTTTCGGGCCACTCGTCGTCTAGTTTTGGTTTCTTCTATCGATGTCGATGTCATGAACATGTGAGCTCGTTGAATCTGCTGTTGGATCGTCATGTATATGTAATGAGGGACTGAAGAAAAGCAACGCAGCATCATGAGCATCACGGGAAGTCACAAACCAGGCGTATCAGATACACCTGGTTTATGTATGTTTGTTTGAGCATCTTTGTCGAGTGAAGTGTCAGCCATATGCACTGAGATGCCGAAGGAAACTCAAAGGCACGTGTATCTGATACGCCTGGTTTCTGACTTCCCGTGATGCTCATCATTGAAGCCTTGAACCCTCGCGTAAATTTCATGTTTCATGCCCCCCTTCCAAACTCAAACAGTGGCCTACTTCACCTGCCACCTCAACATAGCACTATAGCACGTACCGGAAGCGTCCCAGGGGGGGGTTGAACCCGGGGGGGGGGGGGGGCCTACACGTGAAGTTTTCACGTGATTCATGATTCTCGAGGCTGCGAGCCCTTGACTTGCTAAAGCAAGAGCAACTCCAGCTAGCTGATGCTAGCTTTCGTGATGAGAATCATATGCATATCAACAAACAGGGACCATTGCAAGGATGTACGGGCCAAAGCCAAAGTCAAAAGTTATGGCGGTAAACATTGAATCATTGAAATCATTAAACATGCATTGAAATCATTGAATCTGATTGTTTTCCCGCGCTTTTTTGCCGCAGAAGGTCACGACTGTTGTTATACTGGCGAGTCTCCAGCTGTGCATGGGCTGTTGATTGTCTTTATACTGGCCAGTCTCCAGATGTAGGTGTGAGGATGTGGGGGGGCCGTGGGGGTGAAAGGTAGGGA